GATTTTACTTATATGTGGAATCTAAAAAATGAATAAAGGTGAAAAGCAGAAACAGACCCGTAATACAGAAAACCATCTGGTGGTTGGTAGAGGAGGGGGTTGGCAAAGAAGGGTAGGGGGAGCACCTGGGTGGCTTAGTTGGTTAAGCAGCTGCCTTTGGCTCAGGTCATGATCTCAGTGTCCTAGAATCAAGTCCTGCATCTCCCTTCTCCCTCTGCCCCTCCCCCCGCTTGTGCTTTCTCTCTCTCTCTCAAATAAAATCTTTTTAAAAAAATGGGGATGGAGGGGAGTGGGAGGTACAGACCTCCACTTATGGAATAAGTCATGGGAATACAAGATACAGTATGGGGAATGTAGTCAGTGGTAGTGAAACAGCATTGCACGGTGACAGATGGTAGCCACACTCGTGGAGAGCATAGCCTAACATGTAGAGTTGTCCAAACACTGTGTTGTACACCTGCAATTGTTACATTGTGTGTTAACTGTACTTCAATAAAAAAGAGAAAAAGATACATTGAGATATACTGTCATTAATTTTCCTACACCAGAGACAGAAAGATGATGATGAGACAGACTGATGGACATACAAGGAGAAAAATCATATCCACTGGAGTGGAAAACAGAATGACATCTGAATTTCTAGCAGCAAATTTTGAGGGGAAAGTCATTTCCAAACAAGAATTTAATGCCTAATGAAACCAATCAAGCTGGGAGTGAACTAAAGACATTTCAGACACCCAGATCTTTAAAAGGCCATTTTGCAGATACTCCGTCTAGCCCTGAGCTCTGAAAGACGCAGCACATACTACTTTATCTCGCCTTGGTCTTACAGCATCTTTTGGTAGCAGAGTAATTAGTGGACAAGCTAGTGAGCACTCTGGTAGAAAGCGTTCTGGATTGTCACTGTATCAGAGCTCTGCACATTACTCAGGCCTTTTTGGTTGCTGAAACAAAGGTTTTCCAATCTCACATGATGACTTCATACAGGCAGGTCTTAGAGGACCGCATATACTAGTTGGTCACTGTTTGAGGCTACAGCTAGCCGTATTAATTTCAGCAAGGTTAGCTGTGTCTATGGAATTGTCTACGGTGTCAACTCAGGTAAAACAAAATAAAAAATACGACCACTTTATGGAAAGACATCTTCAGCCAAAATAAAAATTCTTTCTCTCTCAGTCTTCTGTCCCATAACTAATATGATCAGAAGCAGGCGTGCACTGGGTCAGCACTCAGCTCATAGAAGGTGTTTAATAACTGTGGACTGGCCACCTGCTGAACTCACTGACCAAAGACTGCATGAAGGTGAAGAGAATTACATGATTGGTTATCTTTCCTAATTCTGCAGTCTAGAGCAGTATGGGAAATGCACATAGCAAATGGCCATGAGGACCACCCTAATTCACAATGAAATCAATGTATAGAGTTGGAGAAAAGTATGTAGAAGTGTATAGAAGAATAAAAGACTGAATTCTGACCTTAGCCTATAGGGAACCAAGCTGTACTTTATATAAGCCAATTTAAGTATGATCTGCAGAGGATGATAAATCCCAGAATAAGTTGCCTGAAATGTCATTGTTGTAATTTCACTATCTTTTTAAAACTCTGGGTCTTGTGTTAAAAATGTAAATTACATTTAGGTCACTTGTACCTCGGTGTGAGTAAGTTTCAGGTCATTTACAGGACAGATACAGGATAGAGCACAGAGCTTGGTGCAAATGGGCAGAAATGGGCATGCAAGCAAGGACTGAATGAGTCAGAGATGGGCAGTGAGGGTGCAGGTCCATGGACCTCCAAAGTATCAAGCTCCCCTCACATGCTGGGGGGCCATTCAGTGATCCAAAGCAGCAGTGAATTCTCATCATGAAAATCAATTGGTTAAGAAAAATTTTGTTGAGAGGAGGAATAGTTACAGGCAGGTGAGCTAGGATTTGTGTGGCTTCCAAATACTTATTAAACATGTTGCCAAAACCCCCAGGTTGTATATCAACCAGCTGGGGATTCATTTAGATTTGTGTGGAATCTAAGCTTCCCTATCCGTCCTGAGTTGCTGAAGAAAGGGATTGTTAGAGCTTTGCAGCCAGCCCAGGGACTTGGACTTACGCATTTCAGAGGGGATCAGAGGTTCTGGGGTGATCAGGGTATAAATTCCTAATCTCTGTATACACATTTAATCATTTATTCAGCCCCACGACTCATCATCACCAGGCATGCTGTGTGAAATATTTCCCCTGACCTCTCGCACAGCCCCACCAGTCGCTCATTCAGATTGGCCTGTTGGAAATCATCTGAATATTGCACATGAGTGTTCATTCATACAAAGGCTGCTAAACCCTGGATAACACAGGAGATTGGATCAATTTACGCTTCCGTGCTCTCATTTATATTACTGAAATTTAAAACTGCATTTCATTTATTAATACCAAAATGGTTATCTGGAAAAGAATAAAGCCCCATAGAAGCTGCTGTCTTTGTCATTTTAGCACAGTAAAAAGGAGATGTATTTAAAATGTCAGGAGATCAAGTCATTGTGAAGAGTTTCCTACCAAAGTGCAGTGAATTATTTAAAAGTCCTGGCATCCCAAGCAGGTAGTGCACCTTCTTTCCAGTCAGGTACAAGTACTTCCGTAGATGTCAACTCGGTGCTCGTTCTTACTGTCAGAACATCTCAAGTACAGCAGAATATGAAGACCTTGGTGTGTCAAATAAAGCATGAAGAAAATAGAGGGTTTAACATATAGGGAGAGAAGAATGCAGCTCATGTGGAGTCCTACCTATTTCCTGGGCCTTTAAGGAACCTTGTTTCAAAGATTGGGGTTACGCTTTATTTTATAATTGGTAAGCGTGAACTTTATGCTCTGGTTCTTGACTTTTGTACTAAGATCCACAGTCCTCATTTCTCCATGGACCCTATAGAATTTACTCCTTTGGATTTTATCATATGTTTTCCTATATGCTGTCTTGCATTGCTGCTAATTTGTTCCTGTAAGTATTTCTTGCCCTTTTAGTTCTACACTAACTTGTTCTGCGCATCCCCACACCCTCTCCTCCATTCAGAGGACTATTAGGGCATGTCACCAGCACTCAACACGTTTGTTGATTGACATCATTGATACCCAGATTTCACAATGATGACTGTTGTATTTGAGCTAAGCAAAATTATTGTGGAATTCAATGCTAAATTTAACTATTGTTTAGGAAATTTACATTTTACTTCTGAAGTAATTGTTTATATGTTACATGTAAAGAAAACTGACATCTGTAAAAACAGAAATCAAACCATACCAATGACTTTCATTCCGATTGTCATTAATGCCTTACCTACATCTCAGTTTTGTGAAAGAAAGCGATCTTAGTGTAGTCTTACTATTTCTTGTAGGGCTGAGCTTAACTAGGAGTTAACAAATCCGGATTCTAGTTCCAATGCCATCGCTGTCTGGCTGCACCTATGAGCAAATCACTCTAACTTATTCTGGACCTACTTTTACCTTTCATAGATTTGTCAGAGAAGAAAGAGCATGTTTAGATTTTTAGATAGGGTTATATGGATGAAATAAGGTATCTGAAAGAATTCTGAAATATCAGAATGAGCCTCATTTCTTTATACCCCAAATTAGTGTATCATTGTATAACTCTTTTAAAGAAATAGTCAATTAAAACTTTAAACAAAAATCCTTTATAAAGAAGAATGGTAGAACTCCCATTTGTAAAAGTAAAAAGAGATTGCTCCTAATGTGAGAATTCTTAGTGCTACCAACTGTTATTTTCAGATATTTTTATCCATTAAGAATCAAAGAATGATTTTTTCCCTTCTTAGTGTAAAGGTGATAGTGATCTCGCACTTCCACACATCCTCTGTTCTCGCACTCCCGCCTTTCTGACCCTGCCTTCTGTCACCACGATTCCTCCTCCCTGACCCACCTCTTACATGCACAACTTGCATCTGCTGTTAACATCCACCTGTCTTAGGAACAGGAGTTGTTTTTAGGAAAAAGGGGATGATGGGTTTGGCTCCAAACAAAAGTCTAAACATTAAGTTTAGTATTTCAAAACTTCATCTTACCCTACTCTATCAGCCTTCACTCTCACTCTCTTCCCTCATTCTATAAGGCTACCAAAAGGTTGGACACGTGCTGATACTGATCCTAAGTTTCTGTATTACCTTGGGCTTTTGCTTGTTTGCTTTTCAGTCTTTAATTCCCTGTTTCTGTCTCTCTTGACAAAACATGGTGTTCTATTCAACATTATATTCACAAGAGTGTTTAGGAGATTGTTCTTGGGCAATGAGAAGCCGTCCACAAGAGCTGTTGAATTAAAGTGAATTGCTGGGCCATGTTTTGAGTTCTGGGTATCAAATTTAACATGTCAGGGACCTGGACAGAGAGTAAGTCTCTAGTGTTAGTGTGCTAGAAAAAAGTCTCTAAGTGTGACTAGAAGGGAAGAGTTATGCTGTCTGACCAGTAAATGCTGGAGCTCACAATACACGAATTGCTAGAAATCAGTCACCTATGGCAGACACTCCGAGTCATGAGTGTTATTCTACAATGCTCAGGAATTGTTTGATGTCTTTGACACACAGGATACATTTAAAGCCTCTGGAGAGTCTATAGAACATAAGAGGTATGCTTCAGAATTTAGGTAGGTTTTAAAAACAGAAAGGGTAAATACTCCATGTTTGAATAAAAATTTCATTATACAGTCTCCTTCATCTTTTGTTTAGGAAAAAAAATCAAACTTGAAAAAAACATTTCAAGTGGGACAAGGCACAGCTGCTATTATCATTATTATTATTATTATTATTATTATTATTATTATTACATGAAGGTATCTTTCTCAAGAAACATTTCCTAGCATTTGGGGCCCTGTGAAGGCCACATCTATATGAAGAAATAGGGGTGTTACCTTGAACTTTGTCATTGATAGGCTTCCCAAGCCTTTAAATTTTCTGTCCATTCATTCTCATCTATCCTGCCTGTTTGATTCACATTGTATTTTCTCCTTAGATTATTAAAACGGGAAGAAAGTTTCACATTTATTCCTCGGTCCCGTGAAGAGCTTCCAGATAACTTTCCAAAGGAAATCCCTGGGATCTGCTATTTCCTGGAGGTAAGGACTGGTCCTAAGCAGCCAAAGCCTTCTCTTTCTTCCTCGAGGATAAAAAAAGTTTCCTACAACATTGGCACCATGTTCCTCCGGGAGACAAGCCTCTGAGACCTACCGCAGATCAAAGACTCCTCCAAAAAGCACAAGCCCAGAACATGGGTCATGACAGGAGAGTGGAATGAAATGGTTTCTCTTTCACTACTTGGCTGAGAACAAGCAGTGGAATTTCTGTGTTATGTTAGGCAATAATCCTAGAAAAAGGTGGATGATGACTGTCAATTAAAAAAAAAATGGAGGGGGGAGGTAATGAGATGTGTCCATCCATGTGAGTGTTTTTTGGTCATATATATATATGTATATACTATATATATACATATATATATATATATTTTAAGTATGGGCCCCCTTTCACAACTAATAAATAGATTCCATGTTTTCTTGTTTGTCACACATACAGGTATCTTTCCCCACTTATCTGTATCACTTTTGAGAGCCATTTTTGATGATATATTCCTACATTTAGTGAGTTGGTGTGTGAGGACTATTTTCTAATTTTGTTTTTCCGAACAGACATTTCATACATACATCATGGCAGTGTGGTCAACTTCCCAGAAGGAAGAACTGTAACTCAGCAAAATATTTTAGGGATATTACCTATTTTTATACATCTCTCTTCTAGATAATTACATTTCACACAACATTCCTCGATTTTCAGAATCTGCTACTGTGTAGTTGGTATATTATGTAACTGTAACCTATTAATCAAATATACTTTCACTTATTTATACAGATTAGTGCTTGGACTGAGAATACATATAACCAAGGACTTCAGATGCTGAGAAAGCATTGTATGTCTGCTTAGTAAATGTACTTTTTAGATTTAATTAATGTAGCATGGAATCCAGAGGAAATAGAATTTCCCAGTAAGAGATTTATCTGTAATTAGGATTACAGAAAATCTTGTTGCCATCTTCTAAAAAACGTCAGTTAAAATGAAATGCTTTGCTGCATTGGACCCTTTTCAACTTAGCACTTATAAAATAGGTAGTTTGTACAATGTACTCAACTATATTCTAGTAATTTCCATGACTTGTTACTCCTCCCCCCACCTCTGCCCACTCTGCCCACTCTGCCCCCTGGATGCCTCCTAAGGGCTACCTGACACTGGGAGCAAATTCCTAGATGTTGGCATTAGTGAGAAAGAGGTTGTAGGACGTTTTGCCGAGAATGTTGTTTCTTGCAAAATAAGGGGGGAAGAAAACCTGTGTTTTATGGCTTTGAGATTAAAAAAAAAAAAAAAGGGGGAATTTTTCTTCTGCAGTTTGATTGATGTGGCTTTAAATTCAGTGAATCACCTTCATGAACACTGAAGTAGGTCTAGCCTCCAGGCCCAGTCATTGGCCATAGTGACAGGCTTCTATCACATGTGGTGCTAAAATGAAGACCTGTTCCCACTAATTAGCACTGCATGAAAATATTATCACACACTCACCCTGAAATTAGGAGCATAGTACATCCAGAGTTTTCCTATTTTGGATCTAATCTAAAACCCAAGTTTCTACTGAGGTTAATGAACTGGAAATATTTGTTTCCGTGAGACCTTGGAGTGGCCGTTTTTCTCCAGACGATATAATCATTGAGAGCTATGTCTACTGAATGTAATAGAGTGATTTCTCTGGTCAGGCATTTTGGCTGCATTAGGATTTGTTTATGCTGTAACTCAGCTACGGAGCATATTAACTGATGTCCAGTGTAGTCTGTGAGGCTTGTTAGTGTTTTTAAGTTCTCTAAGTGTGTAGCTAGAAAACATTTATCGATGTGCAAAGTATTTGTTGTAATGGCGATCACTTCTGTAATTGTTGAACTCTGTTTCACCCCAAGGCTTAGGAGGACACTGGTGCAACAGATAGTTTGGAGACAGGATCTAGACGAAGAGCTTTCTGAAGCCTGGCCTATCCCTCTCCTCCCTGGGTCTAGGTCTCTGTTTTTAACAACGTGGGGGGGCCAGAAGGCCAGTGTGTTTATTTGAGGGGAGTTTTATAGACTGGGGACAGGGTGCTCTCATGGGGGTAATTACAAAGGAGTTTCGTCAGAGGACTGGGAAATTAACCCACTTCCTTCACGGGGAACAAGGCGGAGGTTTACAGTTACTGTGGACAGAACAGGCTGGGAGCACCTCAGTCCTCACACTGAAAACAGACAACACTTTAGCCAGGTGCTCTGTACAGCACAGGAACATGGGGAGAGAACCCAGCTTCACTGAAATAATTTATGCTTATTTTGCATAGGAACTTAGAGCTTATTATGATAAACTAAATCAGTAAATGTTTTGGTGGTAAGCAATGTGTTTCATAACCATAAGGCTGCAAGGGACTTCCAGTAATCATCCAATCTATTTCTCTGCTTTTTGTGAAGATTTGTCTAAGCAACTACTCTAGATATATCATCATTCTCTCTATACTTAAGAATATCTGTGGGAAGCATATTTTAAAAACATCATTGAAAATCCACTTCATTATCCAGTACTTGGTAATAGGCCCCAAGACACGAATTGTATATACATTCAATTTGTCGAAAGAATAACAAACTCTTTTAGTTTATATGGTTCTTAGAGAAGAAGTAGCCATTTACATTGTCACAAATGTTACAATGAAAAATATACCAGAGATCTATTATATATCACAGAATATAAACTACACTTTTCAAACAATATAATCTAAATGTATCCTTGAAGCTATAGTCTGAGGCACTAGTCTAATCTGTTACCAGATTGCCAATTATTAGTTACACTGTTGCTATGTGTTTGCAAGTTACTGCATAAAGTGGCTGTTATTTCTAGCTGCACTCATAGAAGTTAGAAGCTGTGAAAAACTATTATATTTTTATTTGTCCTATGTAATACAGTCTACATATCCTCCGTTTAGGAATTGTGACTGCAACACTGGGTCATAGTTAGTATTTCATTTGACCAATATCTGTACAGTATTCTTACCTAAAAATTATTGCAAACATCATGCATTTTAGTGTGGCAGATTAAAAAGAATGTAAATGGATGTCCTATTAGAAATCAAGGTGATATTAAATTAGGGAAATGGCTTTGACCCACTCTAAAAGGGATACATTAAAATATAATCTGGTACTTACAGCTCCTCTGGTTTGGTGGTTTTTTTTTAGGCAACTCATTTGAAGAAGTCACTTTATGACTAGGCATCAGTATTATTTTGATAGAAATGAAGTCATTGCAAATAAATCAGTTACCCCACAAAGTCACATAGGTACCCCCAAACAGTGCACAGTATGTGCTCTGGGAATCTTAATAAATAGGTACCATTAGCCATAATAAAAAAAAGAATACTCCTCAATGCCTGCAGAGCATGAATCGTTGCATCTCTCCGCTATATAGCATGGTAAATAGCGAGGGAAAGAAGATAAAGCTTCTACGTAACAGGTGACCAAACTGTCTAAAACCTGCCTTGATATTCATTTCTTCTACTTTAAATTATTCTGGATTTCCCTTTTAATATATGACTCTGTGGAGTCCAGTGAGCCATGACCTATTATGACTGAGTCAGGCTCCTCTGCCTGAGGCTTAGAGTGGGACCACGGATTCAGCACTTCAAATGTAAACTCTCACAGTCTCACGCTTGGTTCTCTTGTCCAGGGATAACAGTATCAGAGACAGTGTTCTGTTGTTAAAGTGCAAAGTGTGTCTCTCCGGGAAACACAGAGCAAAGCAAGGCAACAGCTTAGACAAAATCTCATTCACAAGTGCAGCCCGGCTTTTAATTTTGTAAAATGCTCCAAAGATTTCCAGCAATAAAGCAAAATTAAATTGATATATACAAAAGGCAAGCCTCAGAGTTTGGAAAACCACCAAACTCTGTGTTTTGTACAGAAATATTGCTGCCAATTGATATCACATATTTGAGGTTGTGAGATATCAGGAAGGAAATCAAGATCACGACTGTAATTAAATATATTCACTGAAGGCTCCTTGGGATCCTGGCTTGCTGAGGGAAGGTGTTATGGATCATTAGGGCAGAGAAGAAAACTTGTACACGTGGGTTTCTGTCTTATCAAGCATTTTGAGCACTACTGAGCCCATGCCCAGACCCTGTCTACTCCGTGCTGCCAGTGGAAACCATCTCACTCCCTCAAACCTGGCCCCAACAAACGCTAGCCTCTCTGCACCTCTGAACCTCACGTGGCCATGGCAAGAGTTGCTGATTTCAGGCAGACAGGAAGACCCACGTAACGATGCGCTTCTGAAGTGGACGAACCATTCCCATTTGTGCTGGGGCATTGCTAACATCTGAAGCTTTTCCCTGTGCTTTTTCTTCCAAAAACACTCTGACTCCAAGCACTTGGTGTAACTTTACCAAAAATTCACTCGAAGTGAATTATATATGGTCCTGAATAGGCTTTGGGGGACACCAGAGGCCTTTTAGCCAACAATGCCTAGAAACTCAAGTCCAAGAACCAAGAACCAGTCAATAGCAACCTAGGTATTGTTATTATTAGGTTACAGATCCTCATCTATAAAAATTATGTTATTTTAGGGGCTTCTATAAGCCTATCTTACCAGATACAGCTGGAAAAACATGGTGCATGAGAGACTGAGTAATGAGAATTTAACATATGTCGGTCTGCATGACGATTCCTTACGGGCAGCTCTAGATATGCATACACGTCATTCACAAGCAGCTGATTTCATATCTACATAAAGTGTGTTAACATGACTGAACAAACTTTACTGTTACATGGGTAAATTGGCCCCAGCAGTGGACTCAGTTTGAGGGTCCTCGAGGTGGTGAATGAAGAACAGACACGGGTATTATATACAGATGAACATAAATCTTGTCAGAATACACTGAGATAGTGTGCAAAATTCCTTTCTCACACTTGAAACCTAAGTATTACTGTCCTGTCCTTTCTGTTTCCTTCCTTTGTTCCTTTTCCCTTTCATAAAAAAAAAGTCAATGATACAGTCCATCTCATGTTGT